CTCAGATTTGTCATATGGTGTTGAACAGTGGTTCCTATTTCAAAGTTATTAGATTTTAATTTCACAGTAGCAACTTTCTTTACAGAGATCAACTATGATCAGGTACTATGTATAAGTTTGCTAGGGCTGCCATAGCTAGGTACCACAGACTAAGTAACTTAAACAACAAATTTATTTTCTCACAATTCTGGAGGCTAGCATTTCAAGATCAAGATGTTGGCAAAGTTGGTTTCTTCTGAGGCCTCTTGCCTTGGCTTGTAGATGGTTGTCTTCTCCCTGTGCTTTCACATGCTTTTTCTTCTGTGTGTATCTATGTCTTAATCTCCTCTTCTTGTAAGAACAGCAGTCATATTTGATAAGGGCCCATCCTAATGACCTTATTTTACCTGAATTACCTTTTTTAAGGCCCTGTCTCCGAATAGTTACATTCTGAGGTACTGGGGGTTGCACATGAATTTTGAGGGGAAACAGTTCAGCCCATTAACATATTGTGTACCTTTTTGTTTCATTAAGGGAAGTGATATATCTGACAAAATTTGTTATCCTCAAGTCCAAATTTTATCTCTGTATCCCCAGTGGGTAGCACAGTGCCTAATACATAGCATGTGCTCCATGAATGCTGTTGATTTTTCTGAATGAGTGAATAATTAAAGATAAAAGGCGGTATATATGGGAAGATTATGTAATATACCACAACTTTATTATACCAGGATAGAGAAAATTTTTTGAAGATGATTCACTCTTAGGAGAAAACAAATGGATTGCTGATAGGTACATTACTGTCTTATTTCAGGCTAGAATGCTGCCAGTCTAAAGCTTTGGAATGTTGCAGAACCAGAAGAAAGTGAAGTAGAGGAAGGAAGGAGGGCTGCAGTTGACAGAAAAAAATGTTTTAATAGTAAACATCAATAAGTATAGCCTTGGAGAAGCTGAGAAATGTTAGTCAATAGACAAGAATGGGCTGGGGAGAAGATGAAATAAGAAAGACCAATATTGGAAATGATGACACAGAGAGTATCAGATAATTTGGCAGTTAAAAAAAAAAAAAAAAGAGCACATGCAAATTATAAAACACTTCTGTAATAAGTAGCTGTGTGTATGTGTGTGTGTGTATTTGTGTAGATATCTATATTTATATACCTATATAACTGTATCTTAGAAGCACCTAAATAGTACTGTTCAATCCTGAGCATGTATCAGAATCATCTGGGGAGGTTTTAAAAAATGCTAGGTCTCACCCTAGTTCTACTGAACCATAATCTTTGAGGGTGGGATTCAAACATATATATTAAATAAATATTTATTTTACTAGTGATTTTTATTTGCAGCTAGGGCATTGTAAACTACTGTTTACTTAAAGGTAAACTGGCCATAATTTAGTAATGTAATGCATAGTAGTTGTTTGCTTAGGACCATATGTTTTTAATAGAGAAGACAGATGACCAATCAGTAAGTTCATATCAGCATTTTTTAAAAGTACAGATTCTGGAGTCATTATGCCCTTCATTTATGTTAAGTACAACACAGTGTAATAAAAATACTGACCATGAATAATCTGGAAAAATGTTTATAGTCCTCACACTCTAAGGAAAAAAAAATGCTTATTTCATTAAATTTGGAAATAAAGTCAGTTCTGTTCAAAACTGACACAATTCCATTATCCAGAATGAATTCCTGTTTCCCTATTTCCTTTATATATTAAAAAAATCATTCTGGATAAGTATTTTTCTCCTTTTTTTCAAGGCATTTAAAAATAATTTTGAGAGTTTTTTTTTTTTTTACTAGTTAATTTATCTTTAAAATCTTTCTTTTTACAATTGAGAATAAGCTGATGGTTGCCAGAGGGAAGGGAAACTGGAAGATGGGCAAAATGGATGAAGTGAATTGGTAGATACAGGCTTCCAGTTACAGAATGAATAAGTCAAGGGAATAAGAGCTACAGCATTAGGGAATATAATCACTGGTATCGTAATAGCGTTGTATGGTGACAGATAGTAGCTACACTTGTGATGAGCATAGGATATCATATAGGATGGTTGAATCACTACCTTGTACACCTGAAAGTAATGTAAATTGTATGTCAACTATACTAAAAAATAATAAATACTATATATTATAGTGAATATACCAGTAGCCCATAATTTATATATACATATTTATATATATTTAATAATTTATATATACATAAATTAAAACAAGTATTGTATGGTATTATATGGTATTATTATACCATAATGAATACCAAATTATTATTATACCATAATAAATACCAAATAAATAAAAACAAATATTATTGTATGGTATTGTATGGTATTATTATACCATAATATATACTATATATATGTATATACATATATATAGTGAATATACCAGTAGCCCATAATTTATATGTGTGTATATATATATATATATATATATATATATATATATATAAATTAAAACAAGTTTTCCTTCATTGCCTTTTTATGAAATTACATCAATTTCTATGGCTGTCTGCTCCCATAAAATCAAACAAGTATTGTGGTAAGCCTTAGGAATGCAGAAATGAATGTGATAATACCTGCATTCGGGAAGCTCACAGTCTAGTGGGAGAGAAAGACAAGTTAATGAGTTATTAGGACACAGTGTAACAATATTTTATGGGGGCAATCCACTGGGAAAAGTGGTCTTTTCTAATCTAGTAGTATTTTCATGTTGGAAACTTTTTATGGTAATGCTGCCAAAAATTGAAAGGTATGTTATATTTTTGAAAGATGGGCATCTGTGGATTTTAATTAAGAGAAGAGGCATTGGGCAGACACTTTCATTTGGAAGACATTCTTAGGTTTGGTGAAACTAACTAGAGTATAGTTGTTTCCTTGGTGATAGTAACTAGAATAGAGTACAGTTGTTTCCTAGCTCTGAACATTTTTAAAAACCTAATGTCATCATGACCCATGTTTATAATGATGATCTTAAATGGCAGAAACTAAAGTACTTACACGTAAAAATGCTGTACTGTGTTCAACATAGAATCACAGACTTGTGGAGAACCTTAAAGACCCATCTGATATAACCTGTTTGTCATGTGAGAACAGTGAAGAAGAATAGTTTGTGATTTAGCCAAGGCTGCTTATCTTATGTATGGCAGAGCTAGGAGCAAAACTTAGTCTACTGACTCTTCTACTAGTGTTCTTTCAGGTGGAGAAAAATTCCAATACGTGTTTTTATTATATGCTCTGAAGACCAGTAGTATATTCATAGTATGTGGTGAAAACTCAGTTAACCATAAGATTAAGAGTATACAGTGATATTGCTTTTGTTATACACATATTCTATTGCAAAGGTGCATACAGATATGCTGTGCTTTAATCCCAGAATGGTAGCTACAAAGCATATGTATTTCCATTAAAAAAAGTTTTTGACTTTTTTTGGGAAAGTTACTCTCATATCTACTTAGGAGTCTGCGGAAATACTATTTTATTTTATTTTATTTTTTATTTTTATTTTTTTAAAGATTTTATTTATTTATTTGACAGAGAGAGACACAGTGAGAGAGGGAACACAAGCAGGGGGAGTAGGAGAGGGAGGAGCAGGCTTCCTGTGGAGCAGGGAGCCCGATGTGGGACTTGATCCCAGGACCCTGAGATCATGACCTGAGCCGAAGGCAGACGCTTAACGACTGAGCCACCCAGGCACCCCCTGAAATACTATTTTAATGTAAAACAAACATCCATGGACATACTTTTAGAGCTGATTCGTCATTTCTGGCCTATTAGTGATTACAGATACCTAAAGCTAAAATTCCTTTGCCTACCCTCATGAGAGAGTGAATGTTTGACTATTTGTGTAACATGGAAGTTATTTTAGCTGCCATGAAGTCTAGTTTACTTGGGATTCTGCTCACGCCCACTTGGGCCATAGTCACTATTTATTAATCAATCAATTAATGCATGAATTGATTGAGAATATTTTTTGCCATCCAGACCAGAATTTAATATGGTGTTCTGGAAAGCTACCAAGACTTCTAGACATTGTGATTAACTGGTCATGTGAACTTAAACTCTGTGGGCCTCAGTTATTTCCTCTATAGTTAGAATGTTAGATACTATATCCCAGCTCTTGTTATTTTGTGATATGTAATTCATTTGAGGTTTTTTTCATCCTAGCTACTGTGCTTCTCTAGGGACTAGAATTACACCTCACTTGAGTATAATCTTCACAACTGAATAGAGTCCTACATCAAAAAGCAGGAACACTCCCTGGGTGGCTTCTTTTCTGCCTGACCCAGGTTGTAGGAAATCTGGCATATAATTTATATGCAAAGTTTCAATAAAAATAGGGTCATGGCCTGGAAACATGTGTTTGGGCTTTGTAGATTTTGTTTGCCTATAGCCAGTTTTTCTTTTCAATGATGTAGCTAGTTGGACATTTAAACATTTATATATCACTACTTAAAAGGCTACTGAAATTCCATTTCAGAGAACTTTTGAAGCTTACATATTTTGCCATGCCCTATAATTTACAAGGTTTTATCTGTCTCTTGACTTTCTCTTCAGCCACCTCATAATTCATACTCCAGGGAGGGTCTTTTGTTTTGTTTTTTTAAGTAGGCTCTACACCCAATGTGGGCCTTGAACTCATGACCCTGAGATCAAATCACATGCTTTACAAACATTAAGAATTGCATGCTCAACCGACTGAGCCGGTCAGGCACCCCTCCAGTGAGGGCCTTAAAACTGTTAGTTGTTGATGTTTTTCTTTTGTCACTACCTAGTTGGAAGGGAATCCTGAAGCATAGATTTTATGTGCTTATATTTACATGCAATTATATAATAGGGGTGGTGGTGTATCTCTATGTGTTAGAAAATAGGGAAGTGAATATACTAGTAGCCCATAAAACCCTGTGTTAAGGTGAAAGAGTTCGATAGTTAATTTCTGTTGTGATTTCTGGTTCTAAATTGAGCTAATCATTAGATGTTGCAACTGGATTTGAGTGTTGTTTGGATTTCTTTTTACAGGATGAAGATGTTGTTAAAGAAATCCCTATTACTCATCATGTTAAGGAAGGATATGAGAAGGCCGATCCTGCACAGTTTGAGTTGCTCAAGGTTCTTGGTCAGGGATCCTTTGGAAAGGTAATAAATGCTTTATTCCACATTTTTTTCTCTTCTGAACATTTAGCCAAAATAATATACATATAGATAGAAATTTGGAAAATATGCCATTTCTAAATTTGTCAAAGGATACACACAAAGGTAACTCTCTAATTTTACTCTTTTTATTTCTGTTGTACTTTTAGTCCCATTTCTTTATACTTATGTATAATAATCAGTGTTTCCCAGTACCATGGGCTCACTCATTTTTTAGGACAAATTATAGCATGCTATTTATTAACTGCCTAAATCAAAGTAGTTTGATTTTTTTTTAAAGTCTTCCTTTTTTCTCTATTCATATGCTGGCATGATCACAGCTTGCTCTTTCCTAGTGATTTTATCTATATTCCTTAGCTCTATCACAAATGTCAGAATGTATTACCAATTCATATATGAGTGCATGAATTCACCTATTATCTGTTAAAGCAGTATGTATATAAATTACAGCAGGGGCAGGTACTGGGTGACATATGGATGATGTGAAACTCCTGCCTTCAAGGAGCTTAAATTTCAAGGGAGAGAGCAAAATTGAGAAAGATTAACTCTGAAATCACTGAAACTGTTTATTAAGTGCTTACTGCCATAAGATTCTCAGAAGTGTGTAGGTCTGGTTCTTGACATTTGTACAGCTAATAACATCCAAGACATGAAAGTTACTGTACACACACAGTAATTAACAGCCCTTAAGAAAACAACAACAACAACAACAATGTAAGGGGAGAAAGATAAAGTGAAGCTACTAATTTGAGGGTGTCTGATATTTAGTTTCAAAAGGGAAAAGTGGGGTAACTGAATGGTGATTATTATGATCTGAATCATTTTAAAAGAAAGATATTTATTGAACACCCAGTATGTGCACATTTATAAAAGCAGTATTAGTGAATATAAAATTGACATTGTCTTAAAGTAATCTGATATCTATGTGGTATAGAATGTAACATATTAAATACAGAGAAATGTTTTCAGGTCACAACAAAGACAAACTGTGGTAGATTATGGTTTGATAGTAAATTAGTACAGAGGTATATGAAGACAAGGAGATAAGACCTGAATACTTGTACTGGGGAGAATAAAACTTTAAAAGATTGTGTGTGGGGGGTGTGCTTATAGAACTGACCTGTAGAGTAGGCATGTGCATTCTGCATACCTTTATGTTTTTTTTAAATTTCTTAAAGTACATTATTCTCTTAATTATTTTACATTGTATTTTTATGATGTTAATTTTAGAGGAAGAGATGCAGTTCTTTTATATCCCAAATGTATAAATGCTTAAATATCAACTTTAATATTTCACCAGGCAAACATTTTAAGCCATTAAAATCATTGCTTTTTCATTTGATGTATATATCTATTCATATGTATATTTATTTATATCCAGCTTTGCTCCAGAAATGATTTAAGGTTTTCATAGATGAATATGAAATAAAATAAAGTTAAAAATAAGTTGAGATGATTACAGCAGGAAAGATTAGATGAAGCCAGTGATATAATCTTGTTGTTTACAAATGACATAAAAGCCTATGAGTCTCCTAGAAGTGGGAACAAAATGAAGACTTAAAATTTCTGGCAGCCATTATAAAAAGTTGATACTTTTAATTGCATAATTATGGCAGTATCTTTAAGGTTGTAAACAGATCTAACAGACCAGAAAATTTTTTTTTCTCATGGGGATTCATAGAATACAATATAACATAATGTAATGTCTTCAATAACATCTTCACATTAAATATAGCAACATGTGGACAAGTTGTCAATGTAGTCCTTAAATTCAGGAAATACTCAGCTTTGTGCAGGAACTTCAGTTTAACAAGGATATCAAAGAAGACTTTTTAAAATTTGTAATACTAAAATACAAAGTAATGATCTTCATGCAATTCATCAACCAAAGAAATATTAAGGAGGTGGCTTATTTTTTTTCCCCTAGGATGTGAACCTACATGCTTGTCAGTACTACAACATTTGCATGGACATTGGGTAGATGTGACTTGTTATATGCTGAACCTATGCAGGAATTTGGCCAAAGCTGCAAATCAAAGTGTAGGAGAAATTCCAAGAAACTTTGGGCTGCGGCCTTATTTAGTTGTCTGCAAAAGTTCCATTGTTAAAATGAAATAAATAGAATTATGGCCTATATAAAGCCTTGCAATGAGATATTTTATAGCATATTTAATAGGGGAAAACACTATTAAAATCATTTTAAAGTTGTATTTCAAAGCAGCTTACATTATCTCATGAAATAAGCATATAAAATTCTGTACTGAACACACCAAGTATAATGCTATTAATGATCATTAATGTATGGATTGAAATGTAGTATACCAAACAGCTTACATTAATTATTTTAAAACACATCAAATAAAACACATGAAAATATGTCTGAAATTATCAGACTAGCTTTCCTTGTATTTCACATGCCAAGTAATATTTATACAACACATACCTTTTAACATTCGTGGATTATAATTTTTTTACTTATGTGATAATACAGTATAGGACTTAAAAATGAAATTTTTAAAAGATTTATTTATTTGAGAGAGAGAGAGCACATGCACGTGCATGCACACAAGTGGAGGGAGGGGAAGAGGGAGAGAATTTCAAGCAGACTCCCTGCTGACTGCAGAGCCAGACCCAGAGCTCGATCTCACCACCCATGAGATCATGACCTGAGCTGAAACCCAAGAGTCAGATGCTCAACTGAATGAGCCACCCAGCTGCCCCTAAAAATGAATTTTTGAAAATACTAGGCCCTTGCCCTCTTGAGTCATTTTCACGAGATAGTTTTATAAATGTTTACATCTTAAAATTTCTTACAGTTTTTTCTCTTCAATCAATGTTAAAGCTGTGTGATCTTTAAGTTCATGTGAACAAATACTTATGGAGTACTTATTAATGGAAAATATAGAAGTCCATGCGACCAAAAGAGGTATATTGGAGTAACTCACTCACTCATTTCTTTTCTGAACTGTTTCCAAGAACTGGATTAGTGTGACTGAAAAGAAACCTCTTTGAACAGGATAGATATGTTTTTAGATACAGTAGTTTGAAGCCATGCAACTTCTTCTGTAGTTGATCATGGGAAGAGAGCAGAGAGGATATTTTCTTATGCTAGTTCAGTCCATCTAAGATCTGAAAAGAACAAATCAGGTGATGAACAAATAAACAAGTATTTCTCTAGACTATAAATGATGGCTTCTATTAGATGCCATATTAGGATACTAGTGAGTATTAGAAGAGCTAGGGAAAAAGTGATTGCTTTGTGCAAGTGTCTTCCTGAAAGTCTGGACCATTTTTTTTCTCTCTTCTTTGCTTCTTTTTGCCCTCTATATTCCATTCTTTTCATCCCTACTAAGGGCTATGTTTTAGAACAGTAGTTCTCAATGTGTGGTCTCTCTACTCTTGGGCATCCATAAGACACTTTCATGGGGTCCTCAAGGTCAAAACTATTTTATAATAATACTAAGATACTATTTGTAAAACTTCTGACACCTTGGCACAACCAAAGCAGTGACTACAAATTATGTCAGTAGTCATTGTACTCATTGCTACATACTTGGCAGTTTAAAAAAATGCAAGTTTTACTTCAAAATGTCCTTGAGGTGTTAACAATTATTAAATTTCTCAAATCCCAACCCTTGAGTACACTTCTTTTTAATGTTGTGTGATGAAATGAGAAGTACATATAAAGAACTTTAGCTGTATACCAGAAGCTGCATACCATCAAAACAAAGCACTTGTGTGATTTTTTGAATTGTAAGCTGAACTAGCCACTTTTTCCATAGAACACCATTTTACTTGAAAGAATGATTGAAAGGGAGCCTGGGTGGCTCAGTTGGTTAAGCGTCTGCCTTCGGCTCAGGTCATGATCTCAGGGTCCTGGGATTGAGTCCCACGATAGGCTCTCTGCTCAGTGGGGAGACTGCTTCTCTCTCTCTCACTCTCCCTTTATGCTCTTCCTCTCTCTCTCTCTCTCTCTCTCTCTCAAATAAGTAAAATCTTTAAAAAAAAGAATGACTGACAAACTATGGTTACTTAAACTTGGGTATTTGGTAGATGTTTCCTCAAAAATGAAGGGATCCTGTTATTTCATGGGAAACAACTGACAATATTTTTGTCAGTGATAAAATTTGAGCTTTGGAAAATTTTTATTTGACACTGTGAGCTTGACATCTTTTTTTTTTTTTTAAGATTTTATTTATTTATTTGACAGAGAGAGACACAGCGAGAGAGGGGACACAAGCAGGGGGAGTGGGAGAGGGAGAAGCAGGCCTCCCGTGGAGCAGGGAGCCCGATGTGGGGCTCGATCCCAGGACCCTGAGATCATGACCTGAGCCGAAGGCAGACGCTTAACGACTGAGCCACCCAGGCACCCCGAGCTTGACATCTTAATATTCAAAAAACTTTTCCAATGAGATCACTGCTGTTCAACATTTGGAAGATTTGCATAACTCAGTGAAGCAATATTTTTGAGATTACCAACACATGATATCAAATCAGATAGTACAAAATCCATTCAAAGTGTAAGGTAGACCAATGGATTATTATGTAACAGAATATGGACAGTTAATTTATATGGTTTCAGATTCTCTATTGTAACAAACCTTTAAGAAACTGCCACTTTTTGAGTTCTTCTGTCATATCAAAGAAGAATAAGCACAATTATATGAAAAAGCTATTAAAATAGTCCTCCCTTTTCTGTATACATATCTGTGTGAGGACTGATTTTCTTTCTCTACTTCAAGCGAAACAACTTAATTGCAACAGATTGAATGTAGAAGCAGATACAAGAATCCAACTCTTTTCTGTTAAGTCAGGTATTAGAGATTTGCAAAAATGTTTATTAATGTCACTTTTCACATTTTTTTTTTTGCTTTGGAAAATATAGTTATCTTTAGAAAAATATTTATGTTCACATGTAACAAGTTTATTATTTTTAATGAATCAATACATAGATGTTTTTCTCTGTTTTAATTTCTTCTTTTTAA